TGGTTCCAAAATGGGTTAATACTTTTTCAAGGGATATCTTAATCAATGGATCTCAAATAAATATACATTTTAGAATACATTTCTTTGTGGTTCTAATTTCTAGAATATTTAGAAATTATAACTAGAATTATCTCTTGGAGGAGTATCTCTTAGATTAAAATCGGTTGAAGAAAGAGGGAGTGCCCTAAGAGACTCCTTTTCAGTGGAATGATTACTCCAAGGATCACAAGTATAAGTTCTAGAATAATCTTTACTTAAAAATTATTATGTGAATATGGGTATATTTTCTGGAATATTTAGAGGGACCATTCCATAATTTTCTTTCAAAATTCTTAACCTTTTTCTCTTAAAAAAATCCTCAAACTTTTCACTATATTTTGCTAATAACAACCGAAGACTTTTTCTCAGTGTATTTTCATTGAAAACTTACATACGATAAAGCCTCATCTTCATTTCATATTTTTGACATTTGTTAAATCAAATAAATGTATTCGATTCCGTTTGTGCACACACTCACATACCCCAAACGAATGAATACATTCATATATTCGAATATACTCGTACTCATATATATTCGAATTTTTTGTTTATGTTTCATTTTTGCTGTTTGGGGAATTTATTTGTTTGTTTTGCCATTTCATGTGAATGCAAATTTGGTAATTGTCTCTCACTCTCTCTTTCGCTCCCTCTCTCTTTCGCACCCTCTCTCTTTCTGTCTCACTCCCTTTCCTTTTTGGAGGGGTTTTTGCTTTATTTATTTGATGGAAAATGAAGCTTAAATCGTAAATACCCTCAATGTGAGTTATGCCCGTGAGTAATGAATATTTTAGCTTGGTTTTTTTTTCGGCACTTGGGAAGGTTACAATTAGCGAATGTTTGGGTTAGATCATAAAATTGTGTGATGGATGGGCGATATAAGGAATTCCTTTAGTTTGATTTCAGCGGATAAGCTGGAATGTTATGTAATGAGAGAAAGATACTTTTGGATCTGAAGTGGGATCTGTAAAATGTAGATAAGTAAAAGACGCATACAATTGTGTGAGAGAGTCAGAGAGCGAAACCCCACACCCTCATGCGGTTACGATTTCAGACAGAAACGACAAACGACCGAAGGGCGCTGCTGCATGACACAGCGGCAATGGATTCATTCGATTTTTATAAGCTGTTGGTGTTTTATATAGATCTAGGATAACTTTTTAAAATTGTATATATACTTTATTATTATTTTATCTATATTTTATTTATTATTTTATATATTTATTATTATTATCTATAGTTTTTGAATCGATTATGAATCGCTTATGGAGTGGTAAAAATCGGTTATAAATAGGTCATAGTCTGTTTGTTAATTGTTTAATCAACGGTTATAAATTAGTTATCAATAAAATGAGAATCGCTTAGTTGTATATCGGTTATCAAACGATTGTATATAGCCTATAAATAGGTAATAATGGATCGATTATGTGCCGATATTAAATCGGTTCAGATTTGTTATGATTCGGTTATCAAGAGTTACTGAATCGGTTTTAAATCGGAACAGCTGTAAGGACTTATCGTAGCAAGAACCATATCTTAACGACTGAACGATGAAAAGATATTTGGAAGCTTTCAATTCCTCAATAAAATCTAAGAAACTAGTTCCCTAGAAAGTTATCTAAGGAACTAGCTCTTCAAAAATTTTTAATACATAAGCTATTCATTCTTGGGTCCTTCCCAGACTACATGAAAGCCCTCTCCTACACTAAAAGTGACCAAATTCCCCAGAGAAACCATACAGAGAGTCCCAGGGAAAGGGACTCCCCATTGCCTACACAGGATGGTCATTAGTTAATAAATATTTATGCTATTCTGATATTTCTGACGTAAGCAGCAGCCGTAATCGATATCTGGGCAGCCATTTGGTTGGCTCCAACTATAAATCTTTTTGGGGACATAACTTTGCTTTGGCGTTGGTTTGGTTCTTTCCATCCATCTGTCGATCCATCCGCCTGCCTGTCTATCTCTCGGGTTCCTTTTTAGCCTTTTCTTTTGGGGGCTGGCTGGCTGACTGCCTGACTGGCTGTGTATTCAATCTTTGTGTGTGGAAAGGCATTTGGGCCATTAACGTGATATATGCACGCTGGCCGCCTAATGATTGCCGAATTTCTAATTATACGCATAAGAAATTATATCTGTCAATAAATTTGCCACTGTGTGGGCCACACAGCACACAGAAACCAAAGTCCTGTGAAAGACAGTGAAACAGTGAGGAGGTTGCCCCCAAAAAAAGGACGAAAAAGAAATCAGCAAAAGCCATAATTCACTCAGACACACACAGAGAGACAGAGAGAGACAGAGGAGGTCGTCTTCCGTTGGCTAGCGTAAATCCTTCTACAACTGACAACGGGAATGGCATGGCTCCTCCGCTCTCAGTGCCTTATATAAATGATGAGAGTCCGAAAAGTCCGAGAGCCGAGAGCTTCCAGGCATAATGACCTCCTAGGCAATGGGTAGTCTTTGAGCAGGAAATATTTGGTCGAATGACGCATAAAACAAATCCAAGGAGCCATCAACCTACCCCCAAGAGGATGACAAGGGAGGGTGCTATTTCTTGACGGACCTCCTGACTTGATCAACGAAGGAGCGAGAGGAGGGCGAAGTGAATGGAGGAGGAGCTTTCGCTTTGCCTTTGCTCTCGTCATCATTATCATCAGCGCAGTCATCATTTGGTCGAAGCAAAAGCCCAAGCCCAAGCCGAAGACGGAAAACCCCTCACAACTTTGAAGACGTTCCGTAGAAGGGGGTGTGGTGGGTGTACAGGCCACACCAACATTTTGGCCCCATATATTTTCGCTCGTCTGACATTAACGGCTGCTATCGCAGAGTGGAGGGCTATGCCCAGAGCTGTGCCAAGAGCCTGGCATCATTACTGGCACTCCACGATTTATTGACGAGAGCAGACCAAAAACCAAAACGAGAACCAGAACCAGAACCAGAGCCAGAGCTCTGACGGAGCACAGCCGAAAATTTAGAATCGTCTTCTTGGCCAACAAAAAGGATTGCTAGAGTAGGGGATTGCTAAAGGAATGGCAGGCAGGCAGGCCAGCCAGGGCCAAGGAATTGGGTCTGAAAGTGTGGGTGTGGCCCAAGTAAACCCCATTAGTTTCTATGGCCCATTCCGTTGACGCTTTTTGGCCCTGATGGCAGTCAACGCAAGATGACGTTGTGTTTGACGTCTCTCCTTGAGGAGGTTAGGTTTCTGTTGATACAGCACGAAATGAAATGCTGCAAATGCTTCAATATCCAAAAGTTTTTGCGCCTTGTACTTTCCACACAAATTGCATATTAGCTGGGGCAGATGAGGGAAGAACCGGGAACCGGAAGACCCCAGCTTAAATTGGATTATCTAGGGGGCAAAAAGTTTGATCTAAGGGATTATTTTGGGAAGGATTCTCAGATTGATTTAAGGGACAGACAGTAGTAGTGGAAACGTTACATGTGAAATAGTGATAGGGATATGTCTGGGATTGGCCCTAGGTCTTATGGAAGTAGACCCCATGCAGTTGGGGTTTGAAATATTCAACTTCTTTAAAGAAACTTCTTGAATTTGATTTAATCTTTGATCTAAAAGTAACCTTTAGCTTTGGCTATGATCGTGCATCATTGACTACTTTTATACCCGATAATCAGTCAGGATATAAGGTAGACCGCGATCTCTCCAAATTTTCCAATCATTTAACATGAGATAGGGGAAAAAATAGAAAGAAGCAGAGGAGCCACGACTGCTAGTTATATTATTGCATCATTTATTGTTAGAGCAACGTTTTTGTCTATGCACACCCCAGATCTTTCTGCCTAAATTTCATAATTGTCTCCCCAAAATTCTCCAATTCTTTCTACCTATATTCTGCAACCATTCCACTCCACTAGTCCCCAAGAAATGTCTCTATAAAAATCCGCTGCCATCTCTAATTCTTTCCCCCGCAAACATTCCCCACAGCTGTCTCCGAGGTAGACCACAAATTTCAGGCAATTTTCGTCTCCCTTCTGATGGGATGGCATCATATGCAGGCACCCAACACCCAACACCACATCCTTGAGCCGATGATTCATATGCTAAAGCTATGTCCCATTCCGTTCGTGCCAAAAACCGCCCTCCCCCCACTAAGCTATCTCTAATGTCTACTCTCCGCCTGAGAGACCATTCATTTGCGACCGAGAAGCGCCTTCGGCATATTTTTAATTGCCTAATTTTGTGACTTGAGTGATGGGCACACTGGAAATGTGCCTCGAGGGTTGATGCTGCCGCAGCCAGTCCTGCTCCTGTGGCAGTTCGTTGCTTCAAATCGTTGTTGTCGTTCAGCTTGATAAACGCCCGCTTGCCGCCGTTTGGCATTTTAAAATTGTCGCCAAAAAACATCCACCCAAACGACCCATCCACTCTCTCTAGGGCTGCCAGCAAGTGGCTTCATTTGCTGGCTCTGGAAATATTTCACCGTCCTTGCCACCGCCCGCCGTCCGCCCCGTGTGGCATTGTCACCATCAACAGTGCTGCGCTCGCGGCAAATTATGGGACAATATTTTAGGCTAATGTTAATGTTTTCCCAAAAATTTTCTCATTGTGGAGAGTCCTTCCTTCTTGCCTCTGGGCCTCTACCGCCCAAATCCGTTAAATTATTGAGCTCTGAAGGTACTTTTCAATGCGGTTCGCTGGCTCCCGGGTCCTGTGTCTGCTCCTCGCCGCTACAGTGAGCTACAGCTACAGAGTTTGGGGTTAAATGAGCAGCAACACTTTTATTTTTATTTTTTTCCCACTCAGGTTCTGTTGTTAAATGTTTTGGAAACGGCAGCCAAAGAAACCCAAAAGGAAAGCTGCCTCGCGGAATGAATTAGCCCCCCACAAGAGGGAGTTCCTTACCTGGTACGAAGGATCCTGGTAAATTATTGTGATGCATAATGAATTATTTCAAAGGATAAACTCCACCAAAAAATACACCCAAAGAAGAATTTAATTTGATCTTTTAGCAGTTTAAAAACCGAACTTTGGTCATATTCTGAAAGAACTTAAACTCGGGAAAATTCTTCAGGCATATTTGGGTTTTTTTGATAATCGACTCCATTGGGTGTTTTTCCACAGTCAAGACCATGGATTGATTATCTATGAGTAAAATGAAGGATTACTTTCATCAGTGAATCAGAAATAACTCACAAAACACTTGAAAGTCCTGTTCCTTTTTCTCCACATAACAAAACACCAAAACCGCATAATGATTGTAGTCCGTACACAATAAAAATGGTACTGGCAGTAGGGGAAAATAATTCAAAGGCGGATTGGCAAGATTTTCCAGCGACAAATACACATAACTATCTTCTGCAGGGCACACGGTATTCATGTAGATCGGCGGATACGTGTACTGGCGATGCCAGTGCTTGGGCAGCTATTCAATTACAGGGTGTTATATTTTGATTAGTTTTCCATAAATTCTTATTTTCTCACACGCCATATATCTAGGTTTTTGTTGGGTAAAGGTTCCAAACAGCCATCGTACATGGCCTGACGCCAGTTCTTGCCAGTTCGGCCTTGCGTGAGGCACAATATTGTTAAAATTTCGAATAAAATTAAAGACTTTCTCATGATCTACTTGGTTTCGGTTGGAGTGTCTCTGAGGTACTGATTATTTGAGGTGGAAATTGCAGCTTTCGATTGAGCTATTAGCGGAAAAACATCTGTTTTGTGGTGGTACAACAAAGAACATATGGGGGGAACATTCGTCAAAGTCTGGCTTTCATAAGCCACAAAAATTTGTATCTGAAACTGCAGCTAGAAATTGCAATCCGCCCACACCCACCCACACACACATCAGTCTTCAGGTTGGCTGTCTGTAAGAGATAAAGAAAACCACAAAGAAAAACCCCCGAAAAGAAGGAGAAATGCCGAAGGAAAACCTCTAAATCTTACGTTACCTCTACCTATTGGGGGGCTAATGGGGGGGCAGGGTCCCCCGTTGCCATTTATTTCTACCCAGACCCAGACCCAGTCCCAGCCCCAGCCCTTTGCTAGTACGTTCGTTCGTTCGGTTCGCCTTGTCTCGAGAACCATAAAACACTTTAATAGTTCTCTTATGCCAACCCTCAAGACGACCCCTCAAACCACACAAAAATATATAGGAATACGAGTACTACCCCCCTCCTCCACCAGACCTAAAAAGCAGAGAGATACTTGAGTGAATGACGTTTACGAATACTTTTAGTCTTTCCTTTACTGTCGCTTGTTCTTTGGTTTTGTTCTCTTTCCAACATTGATTGACGCTTACCAATACTTTTCTTATATTCATGGTTTTTGTCTCATTTTCATTGTCACTTCTTTTTGTTGTTTTCTCTACTCAACACTGATTGACGCTTACTAATACTATTTCTCTATTCCTCTATTTTTGTCTCACTTTTATTGGTATTTGTATGCCTGTCATTCGTTCTACCTTTCTTCTATTCTCTTGAATATTAACCAATAATTGTAATGTTTTTTCCAACACTGTATAATGTTTACCAACACTGTTTTTATATTTGATTGCTTTATCTTTCTCTTGGAGTTCTGTTACTATTTAACCGATGATTAGCGCTATATTTAATCTTCTTCTAGATCTTTTATTTCTCTTCTAAGGACGTTAACCAACACTTTATTTTTTACTCCCTCTCTTCTTCCTCCTGTTCTATGCCATCCCTTTCAATCTTCTAAGAATCTACCATTATAAAATGATGGCATCGCTGTCACTCGTAACTGGCGCTCAATGTGGCGCCCTCTCAAACTCCATCTCCCAATCACTGCCCCCTCCCCGGCCGACTGCTGTCCCACGTGCAGCAGCCTCTGGCTTTTCGACTCAATTGTTTCTTTCGCTTTCTCTTTCGCTCTTGCCACCCCCCTCTCCCTCTTTCACTTGTCCTTAATTTAAGGCCAGACAACTCGTTGAACTTTTTTAATGATTTCTGTTTTTTGGACCTTGGGGACTAATTCTTTGGATTCCCAAAGAAAGGGAGAGAGAGACGAGCGGCGCCATATGCCTGGGAGACGCAACAAATTAACCCCATTTCACCTGCAGGAGCAGCAACCAACCCTTAACCCTTTACAGCATCTTAACCGCTTCAACACTTTGATTTGATTTTGTTTCTTCTTTTTTTTTTTTGTATATTTTTTCTTTTTGAGGGGGAGGCACACGATTCGCGTTAATCAATTGCTACCTCCCACCTATTCTCGTGAATCTGCGCGCAAATTTGTGCGCGTGGCATGCCCCAGCAGCAGCCACTACCCCTCGACCTTGTCACATGACACCTGCAACCTTTTGCGCGTCGATTTCCGTTTCCGTTTCGCCGCCGCCGCCGCCACTGCCACCGCCGACGTAAAAGTTTTTGGTTTTGTATTTTTCGGTGGGGGCCGGACGCTTGGGTGCGTGGGTGGGCGGGCTGGCTGGCACGTTGGTTGCGATTCCTTCCACCTCTCTGCCTCTTGGCATATAACAATTTTTGATGCCTTTTGATCTTGGCCCATGGACTTGGCGGGTTTTTAATTTAAATCCTGCTCCTGTCAGCGGTAATACGACAAAAAATATCATCTACCATCCACCATCCAGCAGCCAACGCCACCGCCACCGCCATCGCCATCGCCATGTTTGATGTTTAATTTTATTAAAAGGATTTTTCTTTTTGTTGATTTTTGGTTTCGGTTTCGGTGTTTTGTCAGAATCCAATTAAAATTAACCGCCGGCAATTGTTTGTCAAAAATATTTAAGACACGCGCAAAAACAAAAGGCCAAACCAACAAACAAACAGACAGGAAAACACACAACACAACAAAACAGCAGCAGAAGCCGCAACAACAACAGGTGCAAGAGAAAATCACCTCCCCAATACGGAAAATGCAAGGTGGAAAATATTTATCATGAATCGGTGTTTGATTGGAACAATTGGAACAGTTTATGGGTAGATTTATGGGAACATTAGGGAGTGGGGAAATTATGTGAAATTTATTAAAAAAATCTATTTTTATTTGAAGCTTAGAGATCTTATAGTCTTTGGGAAAAAGGCCTTCTTACAGACAGAAGGTTGTTGGATTTTTGGGACCGATGAAGCCTAGTAGGCCTAGCCGATGTCAGAGGCGAAGGATAGCCCAAAAGCGAAGAGAAGTACAATTTCTCCCCGTTTGTACTGTGTATATTGTTAGTGGATTCTTGGGACCGACTTAGCTGCCCAAACCATTGACGAAGCCGCGGTCTGAGGTGAAGGAATGCCCAAAAGATAGCGCCTCGAGCCCCGTACCTCAAAGCATGGAAAGCGTCTTTATTTCTAGCGATAAAAAGAACCAGAAAACCCCCTAGACATCTATCTATCGTGCTGCGGAGTCCCTCTCTTGGTTGCAATGGGAGGTAGTTCGCTTTTTTCCTTGAGATTCGCTTGTGAAAAGCCTTTTTCGACTACGATTTCCCTTTGGGCCACTTGAAGTTGCAGTCATTTCAGGCTAAAGTCTTTCTTTTCTCCGTTTCTTAGTTTTTTTCTCAATTCTTTTGCTATGACGAAACTTTACCTAACCCTACCTAAAGGTAAACCAAAACCCATACCAATTACCTACCAAAAACAAATGCCACAATAGAATTTCCTTTAAATTAGTCAGGGCCCACGTCCCGTCAACATCACTTTCACTTCGGTAGCGGCTCAAGGAAAAACTCTGGACAAAGATTTGGCCATTGTCTTGATGGGAAAGTGTCAAGGCGGCCGGCAGACTTTGCGTTTGAGTGATTTACGAGGGAAAGCGGAAGGCAGGACTAGACAACGGATCACACAAAAGGAAAGAACTCTAAACAGGAGGCCCTGATCCCTTTTCCGATGCAATGAAAGTGAAATCCTGCAGCTCATAAATCAGTTGTCGTTTCCTCAGTGGATTCTTTTTGTTCTGTCCATCGGATACGGCATGCAAATGTGCAACTGTTGTGGCAACACACGTTTCACGGCGGGACTTTGGCGGAGGGAAATATTTTGACATTGACATCGGCCTACGAACAAAAGTACGAGTATCTCTGTAGCTGATGGATTAGTGCGGATTAAGGCGAGACGAGACTCCAGCCTCCTGCCTCTTGCCTCCTGCCTGGTGAAAGTTGTGGCAGGTAGTTTGCTGACTTTTCTGCACGGTGATGCCACGGTTACGCTTCTTGAAAGAGGCGTTTTGTTTACACCGAAATTAGGGCAACTTAAGAGGGTTTTGGAGTGAAGGTTGGGCATGTTTTTGTGAAAAGAAGGTCAAACTTTGTGGGTGGGACAGGGCCATTAACTCATTAGTGGCGTGGAAATTTGTGATTTACGAAAAAATATTATAAAAGAATATAATTGGCTCTGAAAATCATGCAAAAATCTCTGTGTCTTTGGGAAAATATTGTTCAATCACAGATAAAATATTTTGCCATATAACTCTGAATATTTCTCTCTGCAAGTCTCTGAAGATATAGCCCCCACAGCACACCCCATTTTCCCTAGAACTACGCAAATCAAAGACTTTCACCAAGACTCCACCACCCGATTGAATACTCCATCAAGATCGATACGGAAAATCCTTTATTGAGTGCAAAATGTAGTGCAAATGTATGCATAAAAAAGTAGTTTGATTTTTCCAAGCATATAATTTTCTTCAGATTTTCCACAATAATTTACTTGATGGGCGATTAAAGATTTGAAATTCAAGCGGCGGGCAGGCAGCAATCGGTTGACCAATGGCTGCCAATGCCATAAACAAAACGTTGACTGAGTTTTTGCCTGCTGGCCACAAAAAAAGTGGCAGCAGCAACAAGAGGCAACGGCAGCAAACATTCTCAACATGAGCAGCTGATATTTCACATAAACGACATAAAGACTGGCAGAGGCAAAGGCAAAGGCGAGGCACGAGAAGGCGATGATCGCCAGAGACTTTTTCTGTGCGGAGGAGGTGTGTAGCCAGGCAGCAGCAATTGCTGGTATTGCAACGTGCAATCCCCCCTTCCCTCTCCCCTCCCCTCCAGCGGATGGACAACAAAGCCAAACTGGAGACGACGACGCCATCGCCATTGCCACCACATGCTGCAAGAGCAGAGCTCTCTGTGGGCCCCGGCGAGGAGCCGAATATATCAAATGCGATCGATCGCCAATGTCTCGGAAGCCTCCGCCGTTCCATCCTTACCATTCCAGCAATGTAAATCCAATTTGATCTGTGCCGAACGCAAAGCTGCTGCTGTTGCTGTTGCTGCTGCTGCTGCCTCTGTGGCTGTGGCACTGCCTCGCCTGACTTGATGGCCTCGAAGAAGTGTAGGCAAAACATTCAGACGGCAGCGAAAACTTGCAAGAAACTTTTGCCAGCGAGGAGATCACAGATCTGTTTGTGGAGCCTGATTTCTTTTTGTTTTGCCTCGCGATTCGTTTCGTTCTTGTGTTGCTGCTACCTTAACGCGCCACAAGATTGTGGCAGCAGCAGCAGCGGGCAGCAGGCAGCAGGCCCTTCAAAAACTTTGAACTGTGGCGCAGACGACTGCGGACTTGTGCCGGCTTTCAGTTTGTTTTGGTCATCAAAGGACGGACACCATCGGACTCTCGGGGGCATACAGCATGCCGCATGCAGCATGCAGC